GAGGGGAGGGGAGGGGGAGGGGAAGAGAGGCAAAGGTGGCATAAACTGAGACCCACTACGCACCCTCAGCACAGGCCGCTCCATGCCAGCCATGAGATGAGCAGGATGGGGGCCCCTCGGGAAGCTGACACAGGGAACTCACCCAGGGCCACACACCAGGAAAGCTCGAGTCCACAGCCTGTGGGGCATCCTGGCTGTTTGCACCCGGTCCTCACAGAGGCCACACAGGCGCCCCCAGGCCTGGGCAGTCCCGCCTGCATTCGCTCCTCACGGGAGAGAAGCTGAGGACCGTGACCAAGTGGCCAAGGCTTTGCAGCAAGAAGGAGGGAAGGGTCTCCAGACGTCCCTTATGAACAGGCTCCAGCCCTGACTGCACACCTCACGGCCACACTCTGTCACCAGAAAACCCTTCAGCAGGCGACCTCGCCGCCATCTCTACAGACACGGCCGGGACAGAGCTGTGGTGCGCCCTCGAGTTCTGTGATGGTGCCGGATGGACAGAGGCACCTGACACCCCCCCAACCAGCGCCCCGGCAGGGGGTGGAGGACATGGGTGCTGTGTGACCAGCCAGCACTCAGGGCAGGAAGAAGACGGGCTCCAGCTTTAAGGAGTGACAATGAGGGAGGAATAGGGAGGAGGGGAAGGTAGAAGATAAGCCTTGACAGCATATCCAACTAGTCCTCAAGCACCTACCTGCCTGCTGGGATGAACCCCAGCATGCTCTAGGGGGCCAGGCAAGACGCAGACACGAAACACACCCAGCAGCAGAATCAAAATTACTGGCATGTTGAAGAGCAACAAATATGACCCATAATCTACAAAAAAAGGCAACAGAAACAGATGTAGAAAGGATAAAAATGATGGAGTTTGCTGAAAAGAAACTTGAAACAGCTATTATAAATGTAACCAAAGATTTAAAGGAAAACATGAACACAAATGAAAGTTCTAGAGCTGAAAAATACAGCCTCAGAAATAAATTCACTGAATAGGCCTAACAGCAGATTAAAACATAAAGAAGACCAGACACAACTAAACTGGAGCAAAGAGGAAAAATGGACTGGAAAAAAAAAAAAAAAAAACCTGAAAGAGCTGTAGGGACCTGTGTGACAGTCTACCATCAGGAAGCCAGAGTCCAAGAACAAAAGAGAAGGGAAGAAACCATGCAAAAGCTTTTCCCAAATCTCAGTAAAGTCATAAACGTACAGGTTGAAAAAGCTCCAAGAACTCCAAGCAAAATAAACACAAAGAAAATCAAACTAAAACAAAACAATCAAGTTGCTGCTAACCAGCTAGAAAGACAAACTTAGCGGTCAGGAAAAAAGACACACTATATACAGAAAATTAAGACGAGAACAGCAGCCCAATTGTCCTCAGGAACAATGGCACACAGAAAACAATGGAACAATATCCTTAAAGCACTGAAAGGAAAAAAATGGACAAGCTAGAATTCTGTTTACAACAAAAGTATCTTTCAAAAACAAAGACAAAGACCTTTTTCAGATAAACAAAAGCTGAGAGAATTGACCAGCAGCAACTTGTGTTGAGATAAATGTTCAGGTTCTCAGGCTGAAGGAAAATGGTGCTGGAGAGAAAGCTGACTGTACAGAGAAGGACTCACCCTGGGAAGGGCAGGTGACTCTAGTCAAACAGGTGACATGTTCTCTCACTTTTTAACCTTTTCAAGAGGCAACTGTTTCAAGCAAAAATAACAATATGTGTGTGACGCAGAGCACAGGCAGGAGTGAAACATCTCCGACAACAGCAAGGGGACGGCAGGGGACGGGAGCCGTGGGATCCCGCGAGCTCAGACGCACAACCCTGCCGGGCGCTGCCCCTCACCTGCGTCTGCTTGTCGCTGATGTGCCCAGCTTCTCGAAAGGTGTTCTTTTCTTACTGACTTTCTGCAGTTCTTTATATATTTAAATACTGACGATTTCTGTCAGTAAAGTATGTTGCAGATATCTTTCCCCAGGTGTGGCTAAACTTTTACTTTGTTTATAGTGCCTTTTGATAAAGCTTTTAATTTCAACATGGTCAAATGCGTCAGTCTTTCCTCTTGTGGGCTGCACTTCTGCACCTTTTTAAAGAAATCTCTCCCTAGATGCTCTCCTACGCTTTACTCTTGAATTGTCCTCGGGCCTTTTACATCGACTCAGTAATAAGTGAAATTCATCCCTGTGTGTGGAGAGAACAAAACGTGCTGGAGACCCAGCTTCACGGTTTCATGGCCCAGGACACCAGCGGTACCGCCCCCTGACCCAGCCGCCACCTGCTGCACACTGGGGTGAGGTGGGGCAGGAGCTCCGCTCCCGCGCATCTAGGTGCCGCCTGCGCGCGCGCACACACACACACACACACACACACACACACACACACACACACACAGGAGGCCCTCGGGCGGGGGAGTTGAGGACGCCCCCCTTGCTGGGTTTCAGAAGCACTGCAGCAAGTCCTGCCTCTCTCTGCTTCCATATTAATTCTAGTGTTAAAGTGTTAAGAAAACATTTTGATTGAAATTGCCTTAAATTATAGATTATTGGGGGAAAGTCTGGTAGCTTTTAAAAATTTGCCTTTTAACAAAGGACCCCACAATTTGACAGCTGAAAACACGGATGGCTTGTGTCATTCCACGCCACTGGGGACTGTGACAGGGGCCGAGGCCTGGGACAGCAGCTGGACTCAGCCTCACGGGGGGCTCCAGGCTGAGAGCCTACAGAGACCACCCACCCGCAGACCTGCACACCACACGCGGCCCCGGCCCACCCCACCCACAGCCACCTTCGACGACCAGCCCCACGAGTGGCACGTGTCACCTCCCCACACTCCGCCGGCGGGAGCAGTCACAGGGCCCGGGGTCCGGGGTCGGGGAGGACAGGGCCACATCGCAGGGGACACAGTGCAGAGAGGGTGCCCCAGGCACTGGGGCCAGAGGCAGGAAGGACGCTCCGGCGGCTGCCGATACCCAGGGCTGTCAGGCACACAGCCTCTTGGCCCAGGCCTGCCGTCCCACCTGTCCTGCCCCCGCCCCTGCGCCCACTTCCCGAGACCCGGGCCCTCGCTTCCCGTGTGGCGCCAGGCAGGCCCGCCGTCCACAGAGCCACACCGACGATGGCGCTCTGTGCCCGTCCCACTGTGACAGAAAAGCTGTGGGCTGCTGCGTGGACATCAGCCCCTTCTGTCCCCGGCCGCAGCGGCAGCAGAAGCAGAAGCAGCAGGCTCACAGCCATCGGGCCACGTGACCGCATCTCGGCCTGGACCTCGGGGGCGCTGTCACCCCACCCCGGGCCCCGCCTCCTCTTTGGAAACGTGTGCCTCACCCCGGATCTCGCGCTCACACGAGCGTGCCACCCACCCCAGGAGGAAGCAGAGGGACAAGCGGCTGCCCCGGGACGTACCTGACGAACTTGTCCACGTGCGACATGGAGGCTTCATAGTTCTTCCCTCCGAACTCCTGGCAGTGCAGGGCCAGGAAGTGCGGCCTGTGCGTGTGCACGACCTGGGGAGGAACACACGGCAGCGTCAGGCCCCCGCGGGGCTCCTGCCACAGTGCTTTCCCCACGAGTCCTGAGGATCTCGGTTCCCAGGGCCGTCCCCTCCCCGTTACTACAAATCCTCAGAAAGGATTCACAATTCCTCAGAACCTTCCTCAGTAATCTGGGCATTTCCTCCCAACTAGAGTCCCACGTGTCAGCTGCAGGGCACCTGCAAAGGCCCAGAGGAGCAAACACGCATCCTAACCTCACACGTGAGGGCAGCCATCACTGATGCTGCTACGGCCACCAGCGGGACCCGGTCCAGCCACGCGGCCCCTGGGCAGCGGAGCCAGCTTGGCCCACCTCCTCTCAGCGCCGCCCGCCCACCACAGCCCACGGGGCCAGGCCCGCCGCGTCTCCCTGGTCGCCAGGGTCCCCTGACCGCTGGGCTCCGACTAAACTGGCCCCGAGGCAGCGCCCAACCCGCCCACACTTCGGCCACTCGACCTGGAGTCGTCCTCGAAGCTGCGGCCACTGACCCCCCCAGCGGCTCCTCCAGGAAGCTCACAGGGATGGTCCCGAGAGCGCCGTCCAGCTGCCCCCCGCTGCCCACACCCAACCCAGCACGGACCCAGCCACCCCGAGGCGGTGGCACGGACCTGAGTCTCACCCCTGCCGTAAGCCACGTTAGGCGTCTCCGGGCAACCCACAGGTCACCTGAGCAGGTGTCGACCTGCACGTGCTCACGAGGGGGCCAGGCACCCACCGCCCTGCCCTCCTGGGGCGCCGGGGACAGCGAGTCACCGATGGGGCACACTGTGTGGTGACGAGGCGGCCGTGCCAGGACATGCACCGGAGGCGTCAGCACGGCCTGGGGGAGCAGCAGGGGCAAGGGCTCCTGGGAGTGGAGAGGGGCCGCTGGGACCCGACGGCCAAGGGCAGCGATGGAGGCATGCCAGGAGGCCAGGCAGGGCACTTGGAGGCCGAGAGGCTGCCTGTCCCCGCCTGCGCCCACCCCTCTGCCCTTCCTCGGCTCTGCGCTTCTCCGTCCCCTCCCTGGTACCTGCTGACACGGCAACACTGCCGGCTCTGAAGCCCTCACCAAAACCCACAGAACTACCTTGTCCCTCCCCAAGCCCACCATCCCAGAGGCAGGTCCCCTACACAAGGCCATCCGCGCCTAAGGCCACAGTGTCAGCGCCTGAACCCGACCTCGGCCACCACCGCGTCCTGCCCTGAGGTCAGTGCACCGTGGACAGGTGAGGGCTGCATCCAACGGGCCTTGCGGAGATGGGTGCTCTGGGAACAACAGCTGTGTGGTCCCTGATGGGAAGTGGCTGCATCTAGGTTCAGCCAGGCCACGCCAGAAAGTCGGCCACGGGGACAGAGGACGCAGGGCATCAGGCCCTGGGTGCCACGCTTCTGCAAGTCTCAGAAGGAAGCATTGCCCAGCAGTAGCTGCCCCTGACCCGCAGACGGCAGGCAGCACGTCCAGCCTCGGGGAGAGTGACTGGACCTGGTCCTGCTCCAGCTGTGACATCAAAACACAATCCCCAAGACAGGGAGGTTCTTTAAACAGGAGGAAAATTCAGACCAGAAAGTACTTTTCAGCTGCATGGGAAAGGCGATACCAGCGGGTAGAGCGGCCTGTCCTGGCTCGTACCCTACGCTCCGTTTAAGTGGGTATATGGGACGCCCATTGGGGTGCTTCCACTTCCCACTGAACACAGCCGTGGACTCTCTCTGTCCCTGGTCACCAGCCTCAGGGCTCAGGCTCTCGGAGACAGGGACCAGAACAGGCCCAGACGTTTCCCCAGCTGGCGGAGCCACAGCCCTGCCCGGGGGGAGTAGGGAACAGGCGGCTCGCCTCACGCAAGCTCAGTCCTGCTCCGCGCAGGCGCTAAAACGCAGACTCCAAGACAAGCTGGATGCCACCCGCCGGCGGCCCCCTGGCAGGCGCCCTCACACACGATGCTCCCCGTGCAGCCCTTGCCGGCATGGAATGATCACAAGACAAAGTTCAGGAATCCCACAGGTGTCCATGCAGCAAATCACATTCACCAACCAGAAAAGACTGCAGAATGGTCTCCAGGCCTGAAGCCTGGATGCAAAGGGCACAAGGGACCCCAGTCAGGAGAGGCTCCGGGCCAGCCTGGGTCAGATCACCAGACCGACCTGCCCTCAGGCCCAAGGTCGAGCGTGCACAATGCCAGCCACGCCCACAGGTGCACACAGCAGCCTGGTCACACAGAAGCCACCAAAGGCTCCCTGATGTGTGCAGCTCTGTCACCCACCCTCTGCAGTACCCGGAACAACATATAAAACCAGACCTTCACAAAGAGGGCACAGAATTCCCCCAGGAGCAGTTCCTCCCTGGGAAGCTGGTGACTGCACACAAAGTGAATGCGATGCTCTGACACGCGCAGATCGTCACGAGCGCGACTGTAAGGCTCGCGGCACCAGTTCCTGTGATTCTGCAGCGTGTTCTTCACGCAGCTCTACAACCGGGGCGGGAAAGGAGAAGGAAGCCCCAGAGACGCTTGGGTTTTGTGGGTGAATACGGGGCCCCGAGTCAGTGACAGGTTCCTGCAGTTCACACTGTCACCTCTTGTAACCGAGGCTGCAGGCCACCAGATCGTGGCTGGGACCACGACCCAAGTCCCCAGGAAAAGCCAAGCGGAGCCGCTTTCCAAGGACTTTCCATTATGAATTAGGGCAGCGAGGACGAGGGGCCCACGTGCGGCCGCAGTAAGTCACGGGGTCTCCCTGGGCAGGTCTGCCCACCTGTCTGCCTTCACCCGAAGCCCATACACGTCGCCCTCGTAAGACGACTCTCTGCTGTGGTTTAAACTGAAATAGCCGTTTATGGCACAGAATTCACTCTTTAAATCATATGAAACTCCTCAGACATTTGACTCTGATCCCACAAATCTCAGAAAATGGAGAAATCCAAAAAGAGCAGCTCCTTGGGAGTGGGCGGACGCCCCTTGTGCGGATTCCAGAGCATCCGGGCAGTGCCCAGCAGAGGGGCCCCTTCCTGGGACGTGGCGCCATCTCCGCGGTGGTTTATCTCTGAAACCCACGGCGGTCTTGCCTGAGCTACAGGGCCTGGAGGAGCAGGGGCCCAGGGCAGCCCCCACCTGCCCGCCTGAGCCTCAGCTGCAAAGGAGAGACGTGGCCTGTGTACGGATGGCGGGGGGACCGGGCACCGGTGAGGGAAGGGGCCTCCAGGAGCTGCCGGGGCTCCGGCCCTGCTGTGGGCCAGGGAAGCCCCTTCACAGCCGCAGCTGAGGAAGCAAACGCCGGCCCAGGGGTGGGCGGGCTGGGACCTCACGCCCGTGGGGGGCCGCGCCTGAGCTTACAGCAGCACCGGGGGACGCACAGGGTGGGCCCCACCCCGATGGGCACGCTGTGGGCTTCCCGGGCACTCACGGGGCCGGACAGCCCACTCCTCTCAGTCCGAGGTCACCCTGCGCAGAGCGCGTCTCCCTACAGCACTGCCAACGTTCTCCCTGAAGGACCAGCCAACGTGTCCCAAAGGACACGGAGAATCTTAAACAACTGGGAAGAGGCGACACTCAGCATCAAGCCGGCGGGTCTGCCGGCTCCTGGACGCACGGCTCCATCTCGCCCTGGCGTGCGAGGCTGGGGTCCAGGGCTGCACCACAGAGCGCCCAGAGCAAGAGCAGAGCTGGGGTCCTCCTGCCTCTCATCTTCCCGGCCCACACATCTGCGCACCAAGTCCATCTGACCCCAGGCTCATCTCCACGTGTGTCTCCCCGGCCCCACCGTGCTCCTCCCAGGGCCTCTAGCATCTCCACCTCCAAGAAAAGACGTGGTGCCTGAAAGCCCTCCAGGAGCACTTCTTCGTGCTGTAAACTCACAGAGGAAAGTGACAAAATGAGGAGTTGAAATTCTCAGAAAAGCTGTGGCCTACGCGGTTTCCATTAGGATCGTGCTTGGCCAACAGAAAACCAACAACCGGCCGCTGGCATAAGGAGGCCGGGCTAGCAGGCAGAGATGGTGCACCTGCTCGCAGGCGGCATCCAGGAGCCAGCTGCTTCCACCATGTCTGGTCTGCCACTGCGAGCACTGGCTGTCATCCTCGTGACTGCAACATGGCTGCAAAGCCCCCAGACCTCATGCCTACATTCCAGGCGGGAAGAAGTGGAAAGGGCATAAGGTTAAAGGAAAAGGGGAAAGGGCTTCTATTCTAGTGCTTTGCCTACTTTATTTAGACAAGAAAGCTCTCGCCGGGGACTTCTGCCTACACACTGTGTCACAGGATGCCCCCAGAAGCCACGCACAGGTGGCACTGGCCGGCACTCTGCAAGTGACAGAGCCTGGCGTGGGTCACGTGCAACCGCACATCGGGGAGGGGGGGGCGTGTGCCGCACCACGTACCCACCTTCCAGTCTCTCGAGTCCCAGGCTGAAGGACGATTGTAGGGTGGTCACATCTGTGACCCCCTTTGGCGCCACGGTCTCTGAAGACCACCGGTTAGCAAAGCGCTGGGCACAGACAAAGGGCTCTCGCTGGCCAAGGAACCTGCTGTCCCGCTTCTCCTGACACCCCCCCGACCTGAGCCCCCCTTCAGAAGGCCGCGCTCCAGCCCAGCCGAGGTGCTGGGTGCGAACGCGCCACAGACACGCAGGCGCTTCCGGCCTGCCCAGCGCCGGCGCCTGCGACTCGGCACACAGCCAGGGACGCGTGTCCGCGTGTCCACGTGTCCTTGGCCCGGAGCCGTGCGGGCAGCTCCCGCCCCTCCATGCCTTGCCCTCCAGTCCCCGCCACTGCGTTCCAGTCTTACCCAAACACCAAGGCATCTGTCCCAGCTCAGCGGGAGGGAGACTTTCCGGCTGGACTCCCTGCGCTGCAGCTCTGCCCGGACAGAGGCTGGGGAGCCCCACCCAGCAGAGGTGAAGCCCCTGTGTGCCCACAACACCGTCCCCGACTGAGCCACTTTCTGGGGAAGGATGACCCCTATCCAACACATTTTAATTGGTAATCACAATTAGATTTA